CGTCGATTATTCAGCTTCCAATGTAAGGATAATCGCGTTTCCAGGAATACGTTTAATTCTTTTGAAATTCGTCCAGATCATGGCAACGAACGAGGAGCGACGTGGCGAGAATCATCTACTTCACGAAATGACGATCGACGACCTGCAACAACTTACCGATGTGCGGGCGCAGCAGGTATCACTTTATTTTTTCAATGTGATAATATTTTATGGACACCGTACATGATAAATGACTGATTAAATTAATATATATTAATACGAGACTGCGATATTTGTATTTAAACGAGCAACATTTGGAAACGTGTAATTTTCATCAAAATTCTGATTAAGATAAAATTCAAGAGTTCCGTTGATGAATGAAGTAATATTTAAAACCTTACAAGACTATTATTGGAAAATAGTAAAGAAATTAAAGTTTATCATGATTCTTATTTAAAATATCAATTATTTTCAATTTTTTAACCCATAAATGTACTTGTATATTTGTTTCCCTAAGTCGGGGTTGTCGACAAAAATTAAGCGTTATGATCCTCACTTTTATAATGCACGAGTGATTAAGGACGAGACGCTGTTTCAGTGGAACTGGACGAAATACTTGAAGGCCGTGTTCCAGAACACAAATGTCACGATAAATCCGACCGTGGATCGGGTTCTCCTCGTAGACTTGAAGTATTTGCAGCAATTGCCGCTTCTGCTATCCGTCACTCCATCCGCTACGATAGGTACGTCCAATTTCGGCACCCTCGTCAAACCGAGCGCGATTGACACTTGGGGTAATGCGTGCTCGTCCAATCTGCAGCGTATATTGTTGCTTTTCCACTTGCGTCCATTTACGTCCGCTGTGTAAGAGAAAAGAGGAGAGAGAGAGAGAGAGAGAGAACTGTGTAATACGGAAGCATTCTCTTTGCATCTATGCTACATACATATATTCGAACAACTTTCGCAACAACCCATATTTGACGTTTTACCGCAATTTCGTCGTCAAGATGACGATAGCTTGTTTGCTGAGATGATTTTCGTTAATCTCTCTCCTCCATGAAATAATAAAATAATTGAATCCTCAAGTAGAATAACTCAGGCTCAAAATTGAGATAACTTTGGACCCGATTGTGGACATGCGTATTGTGTAGGCATTTTTTCAAATTTGAACCAAAGTCCCGAATAGGCTAAAGTGACTCTATTTTATGAAAATTGAAATAACAAGTATAATAAACTCATTTGCTAATAACGTTATAAATGAGAAGTCTCGAGTTGTTCGAATAAATTTACATTGTGATCATAATTCCCTTAAACTTCTCCTTTATTTGCAAGTTCGTCCTCGAGTACTAAAGATTGTTGCAATGAAGACGCTTGGAAGTGTCGATAATCCATGACGGGTAATATAGGATATGTTTCTACACCCAGAGAAAGAAACCGTATAGCGAGAAGAGGTCACCGAGGTCGAAATGCTATCGGAAGCTGCACCGTATCTGCAGTAATTATAAGTCCGCGATTGTTTCACTGCGTTAAAACTAACCGATATGTATAATACAATATAACCACAGTAATATCAGTGTTAAGACAGTCGGTGGTGATTACGGTGCCGATAAACAACGTACAGCGATAAATAACGTTAATATCGAGTCGATTTTTGTAGTGAGATACGTCTGGTGGAGTGTGTACGCGACCGTTGCCCCTCTGACGCTGCAGAAGTTTCGCGATCTCGGCTTCCAGTTCTGGCAGAAGATCTTCGGCCTGAAGGAGAAGACCCCGCGCTGGAAGGAATGCACCGGCAATGCCAACACGAACTTCGGCATGGCGTTGAGCTACATTTATGCGCAGAAACACTTTAATGAACAAGCGCGAGAAAAGGTACATGATGCGCGATTAGTATTTCTGAAGTATTGGAAAGATAAACTGTTTTTGGCAAACTGCAGCCCATCATCTGTTTAAATACATAATAAACGTATTTATTTTATTTGTATTTATATTATTTTATTATGTAATTTGTTTATTTTTTATTTTATATTAATCAATATTATATCTTTGTGGCTTACAAAGTTTGAAATATCACTATCTGATCTCTTTTTTTCTATCTGAAGAAGGGGTTTGTGTCGATCTCTAATTTACGAGATACCCTAAATGCGCAACTGTATTTGTTATCCGATTTTTCCCTAGCCATTATATTGAGGATATAACGATGATTCACTACTTTTCATGGTGAACAGGCGTTAGAAATGCTGCTGGATATCAGGGCTGCGTTCGACGAGATGGTCACGGAACTAGATTGGATGGACGCCGGCACGAGATCTCGAGCCCATAAAAAATTGCACGCGATGAGGCCATTCGTAGGATTCCCCGACTGGATCACGAATCCAAAGGAATTAGACAAATTTTATGAAGGAGTGAGTTTTTCCTGAATAGCTTATTTACTGGACTATTTACTAGCCCAGCTGCGGAAACTGCAATGTTTGATCTGTTTAGGTAGAGGTGATCGATGGGAAGCTGTTCGAAACTTTGCTCAAACTAACGAACGTGGCGATGAAAAAAAGCCTCAATAATTTGCGTGAGAAGCCTGACAGAAGTAGATGGATATCGTCAGGCACGACAGTAAACGCATTTTATAGCGCGATATTAAACTCAGTCAGTAAGTGTCTTAATATTAATTTTCTAATTAATTGAATCCATTTCGTCGCTTTACAAAAAACACCAATTTAAATTTATTATTCAAAATTTAGAAAGAATACGTGATGTTTTTTCAGCTTTCCCAGCTGGTATTCTACACCCCCCATTTTACGGTAACGGACTAGAGTACGTATAAACTTATATTTTACAGCTAAGGCAAAATTGTCATCAACTCATATTTTACTCGATCAGTTCTTTATACGTAACGCATAATCCTAATTGATTTGTACGCAAAAAGATTTTGATATTTTACATCTGTGTCATATTACACTAAAAAAATCTGTATGATAGATTTTTAAATGTATAAAATTCATAAAAATTATTATTAGTAATAAATATTAATGATAAAATTTCGGCTAATGATTAGAAATGTTAATATTTAATTATTTTATTATATAATCTTCTTGTAAAAACGCTGTCAATTTCAAATCATAACATAAAGATATGAGTTTGTACACACGCATACATACGAAAATAAAATTCTTTATCATAACCGCTAAACTTCAATAATCCGTATCGCACAGATCCATAAATTATGGCGCTATAGGGGCAATTATGGGCCACGAGCTTACACATGGTTTCGACGATCAAGGTGCGTAATCAGTGACGTGATGTACGTTGCACAATATCGCTAAACGGTCATTCGTCTGCTTTTATCTCTTCAGCGCTAAAATGCCCGCATTAATATCTAGAATTATGCGAATTTTCTGTGTTAGGTCGCCGGTACGACGAGAACGGCAACGTACGACAATGGTGGAGCGATGAGACGTTGCAACACTATCATGAAAAAGTACAGTGTATAATCGAGCAATACAGCAGTTATCATTTGCCGGAGCTGGGCGATAATTTCACGGTGAGCATCTCGTGATAGCAACGTGTCTGTTTAAAATATCAAGAAGCATGCCAAGGCGCCGCTCTTGCGCTTAACTATTTGACTTATCTTCTGATTTTTAGGTGAACGGCATCAATACCCAGGGTGAAAATATCGCCGATAACGGTGGTATCAGGGAGGCTTACAGAGCGTATCAAAGGCTGATTGCACGCAGTCCGAATCAGCAAGCTCTGCCTGGTCTCGTTGATTATAGCAACGAGCAATTGTTCTTCTTAGGTTTTGCACAGGTAAAACGAAACTTTTCTTGTCCTGTATATATTGCTATTTAAATACATTATGAAAACTTTACACACGCACGCACACATGTATTTACATATATATTTAATATTATATATTATTATATATATACACAAGATGTTAAAAAAATACTATTCAGCATTTATATGGTAAATAGTGCACACCATACTGAGAAAAAAAACCTTAGTGATCTAAATAAAGTAGTTTTTTATGTAAAAAAAATCTCAGCTTTCTAAGTAAAATATTTATTTTAATGTAAATACTTAGGCTTATGAAGAAAAACACTTTTTTTCGGAAATTCAGTGCTTTTCCGGTATTTAAATCAATCGAGATTATTTTTATGTAAAAGTTTAGAATTTTTTACATAAGATGTTGTTATTTTCATATTTTTTAAATATTGCATTTACTATGGCGCAAAAAATTCCAATAAAATTGATGTTTTTAAAATATCAAGAAATTGAAATTAGTACCAGACGGTTTGTTTTAAGGAGGAAAAAATACAGGTCGTTGTATTTCCCTAAAGAACACTTTTGCGAAGTATGAACACTATCGGAGATATAGAATAAAATGTCTAAATGAGAAATTTAGAATCATTGAAATAACGATTTTTTTCTCTTGTCAAATTAATAAGAAATTAATTTGTAATGAAGATCCATTTAGATACAGATTACACTCGCGAAGAGATTTACACACAAAAATTATGAAAATTTCATAATTTTTTCTTACATATAAAGTAAGAGTGAGTTATAAACACTAATTTTTTTTGTCAAGGTCTGGTGCGGCAATTATACAAATGGATCATTGAAGTCTAAGGTGATAGAAGGAGTCCACGCACCAAATCACTTTCGAGTTATCGGCACGCTGTCGAACAATGCCGAGTTCGCAAAGGCCTGGAAGTGCCCGCTTGGTAGTCCAATGAACCCATCGCATAAGTGCATTTTGTGGTAGATATCTTCGTATAATTTCGAGCAGAATGTAACGACGCCTAGAAACTGTTATCTCGTTCAGGCCTAATCTTTCTAGTATAGAAGAAGGCGTTGATACAGTGATAAGTATAAGAAATTGTAAATAGATTGATTTTTAATTATAGAAACTAGTAAGTGTAATTTATTAAGCACTTAGACGTTCTATTCATACTCGTAAGCTTATGATGTAAATATCACATGGATGAAAAAAATAATATAACTTTTATAAAGAGACTCCTCTCACAATTGAATCCTAATTTATCCTATTATTTTCTTCTTTTTTTTTAGTACGACTCTTTTTCCCGCATTTGCTTTCTTCTTTAGCTTTCTAGGTGGAGCATCTTCATCAGTCATTGATAATTTTACTTTGTGTTTTTTGCGAGGAAAAGGTGGTTCTTCAATTTTATTCGACTTTTTAATCTTCTTCACCGGCGAAGTAATTTGCGATGCAGAATTCTCTTTCCGTTTTTTATTAGAAGGATTTATTTCTTTCGTTTTTAAAAGTTTCTTCTTCTTAGGTTTACCGACATCTTCCATCTGTGACGACCTGTCCCTCTTCTTTGAAACAACAGCCTCTTTTACTTTTAAAATTTTCTTCTTTGAATGCTGAACATTGTCTTCAGCATCTTCCACAGTTCTCTTCTTCTTATGTTTCTTTTCTTTAGGATTTCTAATATTTGCGACTTCCAAATCCTCTTCATTCTCAATAATAACTTCCTGCTTCAACCTAAACCTCTCCGTTTTTACTTCTTTTTCTTCGACCGATTTATCTTCTTCCTTTTGTACTAAATCCTTGCATGCTTGTGCTACAGAAAGGCAAGTGATTCTGGCACCACAATTAACAGTTTGTAACATGTTCAAACTATGTTTGTTATATCTCCAAAGTTTGATCTCTCCGGAACTAGAAGCGCTAACCAACAGATCATTCATATGTGCGATACATTTCACTCTCACGCCATGTGCTTTTGTATTCATTGTATGCAGAGAGGTTCTAAGATCACAAAATTTTATATCTCCGTTCTCAAAACCAACCGCGATTAAATCATCATTCAAGAACTCAACGCAAATAACTTTTGAATCAAATGTGAATTCCTTATCTATTCCGGCCAATTCTACAGAATAAATGTAGATACTTGCATTGACAGCTATCAGATATTTTTCACCGTTCGGACTCCATTTAATAATAGTTATCCATTTAGCGCTAGACTTCAGCTTCGGTACCAAGTTAGTGGCATAAGCTGGTCTGCCCTTAATCAGATTCCATGTCCTAAGCACACCATCTTTTCCAGTAGACAGCGCTAGCTTTCCTGTTGGATGAATAGCCAGAGTATTGACAGCTGAACCCTTGTGCGCAGTTGGCCAGACTCTCTCCAGCTGCCAATTGCCACAATGAATAGCAGTTATACTACCGTCATCACTACAAGTGAATAGATGCGAGCCTTCTGGAGTAAATGCAATACAGTTGATAGTATCTACAAAGAAAAAGTATGAAGAACACTATTATTTTTATAATAGAAATTCATATTATATAATATTGTATAGAATAAACAAGGATGGCAAATAATATGTTGTATTTATAATATTACCATTACTATTAATGTTATTTTTTTTATAGTAATGATTTGATAGTTACAATTTTTTATGATAGTAACGATAACGTCCAAGTTGAAATGATTACTTTTAAAAAGTAATTCATTACAGTTGCATTGTATCGTACTTATTAAAAAAAGGATATTTATCACTATTTATTATATTTTTTTTCCATAAATAATTCATTACCATCCTTATTGAAAAAAATTTTATCACAAAGTTACATAATAAAATCATATAATTTGAAAAGACACATGACAATGTGTTTTTTCTTCTATTTCTATTATTTAATTATTTTAAATTTGATAATCTCTCTATAAAATCATACGATTATATGAAGATAATATTATTTCTAACAATATTTAAATATTAAATTTTATGGAATCATACATGTGAGAAACAACCAATAAGAAATTACCTTTAACGGTTGAGCTGGATCTTAGTATCTTATAGGATCTTATTATTTCTAACATATAATTTTTCAAATTACATGATTTTAAAAAATCACATACTGATTTAGAAAAATCTATTAGGTGATTTACTTGTTTTAATTATATGATTTTATTATGTAATATTGTGAAATGATTTTTTTCAGTAGGAATTATCTTCATGAAAAATTATAATATCATTACTAAATCGTTATTATAAAAAATTAACTGGAATGATGTTACATGTAATGTATTTTATCTTCCACCTCTGAGAATAAATACAAAATATATTTATCTACATACCTTTATGATGTATTAATTTGCCAGACTCTCGCCTATAACGCATATCGTACAGACATACCGCTTCATCAGCACCAGCTGAAGCTAGATAATATTTACTACTGGCGACAGCACGTATGCTTGCGACATGGCTGTGAGTCGCAAAGCTTTTCTCTATTTTATACTCCTGGTAAAAGGACAAGAATTAAATTTTAAATTTGTATTTAAAATATTCATACTTGAAGAGTTAACAGTTCCTCATTTAAAGTAGAAACTTCGATTAAAGATACATTTTTCTCACCAGAAACATCTTGAATAATCATATCTTATAAAATAACAAATATATAAATAAACAAATATCTAAATATGAATGTATTATAAAAGCATATTTTTCTTGAAATTTAGTGTGTTGCGTGATTCACAAACTTAACCTATACACAAGACACGTGATGAAATATAACTTACATTTATGACGTTGTGCACTTTGTAGCCCAGTAAATATTGCTCATACGTCCCTACTATGATTTCAAACGGATTCAGCAGTCTTGCGTCTGAATGCATCCTTTTTTCGTTTTATTTATATTGCATCAGTAGAGCACAGTAGAGAGATCACTTACACCGCTTGCACGTGTGTAAAAAAAGTAGATATTTTCGTTTTATTTATATTGCATCAGTAGAGCACAGTAGAGAGATCACTTACACCGCTTGCACGTGGTAAAAAAAGTAGATATATGGGGCGCATTCAGCAGAAAAGAGCGCTACGAGAGCGCTCGCTGTTATTGGTGTATTCTTCTAGATCATCCAATCAGAATTTTAAATCTGGAAGAATATACCAATAACAGCGAGC